AGTGTATGATGTGTGAGTGAGTCAGTGGTAGTGTGAGTGAGTGTATGGTGTGTGCGTCAGTGGTAGTGTGAGTGAGTGTATGATGTGTGAGTGAGTCAGTGGTAGTGTGAGTGAGTCAGTGGTAGTGTGAGTGAGTGTATGATGTCTGAGTCATCGTATGATGTGTGAGTGAGTCAGTGGTAGTGTGAGTGAGTGTATGATGTGTGAGTGAGTCAGTGGTAGTGTGAGTGAGTGTATGATGTGTGAGTCAGTGTATGTGGTGTGAGTGAGTCAGTGGTAGTGTGAGTGAGTCAGTGGTAGTGTGAGTGAGTGTATGATGTGTGAGTGAGTCAGTGGTAGTGTGAGTGAGTGTATGATGTGTGAGTCAGCATATGGTGAGTGAGTCAGTGTATGATGTGTGAGTAAGTGTGGTAGTGTGAGTGTATGATGTGTGAGTCAGCGTATGATGAGTGAATGGGTAAGTGGTTGTGTGAGTGTATGATGTGTGAGTGAGTCAGCGTATGAGTGAGTCAGTGTATGATGTGTGAGTGAGTCAGTGTATGATGTGTGAGTGTATCACGGCATCCTCCCCGCCATCACGGCCTCCTCCACGCCATCGCAGCGTGGCCTGGCTCCGCCCTCGGCCACGCCCCCTTCTGGAACCTACCAGAAGGTTCTGGGCCATACCCCACGTGTCCCTTGTCACCTTTGGCCCACATCCTTACCCTGGCCTATCACGTGCCCTTGCCAGCCAACCAGACTGCTACGTCCTCAGATGCCCCCTCTCTGCCAGCCACCAGCGCTACGCCCCCTAGGGACCCGTTCCGTGACATTGCATGCCCTGCTGGCAGAGAGGGCAACGGCACTCCCAGTTCCCCTATCAGTAACTGGCGCTAGGTGCCGTAGTGACCCATTCCATGTCACTACACATGTAACAGACTGCTGGGGCAAGTCGTGTTAGGGAGCACCTATGATGGCCTGGTGTGACCAGCACCACGCCCGGCCACATTTGGTCTCCCCAGTGCTGATGGTTACACACCTGACCAGGTTTCATTTCAGGCTGAGTCGACCTAAAAGAGGCCCAGCACCGATTTAGATACCCAGCAGCGACATTAGCCGTGAGCGGGAATCGAACTTATGTGGCCGGGTTCGTCATCGAGCGCGCTAACCATGTGCGCCACCGCTCCCTACACACGCACTCGCAACGCGGAATACGGGAAGAACATACAAACTCCACACACAAGGTCGCCCGTGGTGGGAATCTCACCCACAACCTTGTTTTGCTTAAGGCATAAGTGAAGCCACTGAGCGGCCACCCTGCCACCCAATAACAACCATCACGAGACTGAGTCACGACACGGTCACTCACTCGCCTTTCAATGTGAAAAACAAATTTAATTCCCGGCGCCGTCGCTTGAAGCAGGGTGGACCAGCACAATTAATTATTGGCAATGGCTTTTGGACGAGGCAGCAGCGTAGGGCCGCGCCTCGTGAGGCAATCGGTGGACGCGAGGCAGCCGGGCGACTCTGCTGGACCGTGGTGGCAACTCGCCGGGACACGCCGGGCACTCCCATCCAGAGGGAGCCGACAAATGACTCGACCGCGGACTGCGTCTGTGCCACGTGGTCACCCTTAGTCCAGTGGTTCTTCTTCACCTTCACTGCACTACTTTGGTTCTCGATCGTAAACAGAACAAAAGTATGTTAATAAACACACAGGGTTTGATGACACAAAGTTGTTGTACTTACGTGCTCGTGCTCAATTTGTGTTTAGATGATTTACCTTCTCAAAAAATAATCTGGCCATGTCTCGCACCCACAGGGGGTGCATCACGCAGGCAACAGAACCACTGCCTTGGTCGATGGCCTTGCACCGTACGGATGAGAGTGCCAATAGCCACTTGAAAGGCAAGTGACAAAGCGGTCTACGCTGGAGTCTCGTAATCGTCACGAGTTGTTTCACGGAACGCGTTCGTCCCTCCTCGTGTCAAGTCAATAGCTGAGTCACGGACGAACAGATCATACTTCACCGCATTCACGACGATAGGGCGACTCTGTGCGAGTGCCCAGTCGTGAAGGGGTGAGCTTGGTGGAGCGCAGCCAACTCTCCAGCTCTGCAGCCCGAGGGCGACTCATTCCCTGCACGTCGAGTCGCAGGAGGAACGTTGGCCACGCGCAGTGGCAAGCAGTGCTGAGAGACGATCACATCCACCCACTCGGCCCCACACGGGTCCAAATTAAAGGAGCTTAGGTGTCGCCCAGTGACTCCCGATTCAATGCAGGCTGACTTACCAGCTTCCGCGTCTAATTGGCACCACGCCTCCATAATCAGGAGATAATTATTGATCCAGCCCAATTAAGATTCAGCCCAATCGCACATCATAAGAACGTATATGAAGAAGACATGGAGCTATCGTGATGATCCTGGGTCACCATTGTCCGACATCACTACCAAGGGAAGCTGTCTCACTGTGTGCGACGATGTGCACGAGGCGCCTGTGCATGGGGGAGCTCAACACAACGCGTGACAGGGTCGGCGAGCTCCATGATAAACGGCGCGTCTCATCGCTCCCCTTATGGACGAGACGAAGGGAAGAGCAGCCCAGGAGGAGGAGAGATTCCCGAGTGGCTGCGTGATCGACCTGGTTCACGATCGGCGTACGAAGACAGCGCGGGGATTTGAGCGCTCGCATGGGTTCCGCCCAGAATCAGAATGTGTATTTATACAAGAACTCTATTTACGAACGAGTTCGGTTCTAGAAGTCCAACTTTACTCCTGTCCATACCAAACTTGTTGTACGGAATATACACTAAACACGGGGAATGGCTCTAAAAGTTGTATAATCTCCTGTACATGTAGATGCCACTAGTTCTTCGTGCTCTGCAGATGTAGATACCACCACTGACATCTAATGCGCGACGGTTGAACTTACGACTCTCGGTCCGAACAGGCAACTGGACATACGGACAGGTTTGTTCGTATCTCTGAAAGGTCGTAAGTCGATTTTTCGTAAATAGGGGAGTCCCTGTTCTGGAGAAATCTGATGAGCTATAAAGCTCAGGGGAGCCACTGAAGGGGAACAAGAGGCAGTGAGTGGAGAAGAGGCAAATCTATTCAAGGCCCAATTGAGTGACTGAAAAAAAGTCATGTAGCAGGTCTTTGACGGGAGTTGCCGATGCTGTTGGCGCCCCGCTGTTGCGCAAATGTATGTTGAACTTCTTTAGCACCGCACGTAGCCTACTTAAATAAAGGCGTCCTGGTTGTAGTTCCACCTTGGCTGTTATGTGTGGCTCTAAGATAGAGCGGGTGGGCCAAAACATAGCAATGCTGAAACATCACCTGCAAATTATTTAGGTGGGATCACACAGAGCAGCAGCAACATCGCCCCCTGCTGCGTAAACTTGGCAGTACCATTCTGAAAATAAGTGTCTGGAGACTCATAAGAGTTCTCCTGGACCAACGAGTGCAAAACACATTCCTGCGGAGGGAGCTGGTAGGAACGTTGGGTTGCTCGGTCAAAGGCCAGGGTCAACGGCGGAGTGGTGTATTCCACAAATATGCCCGACTGTGAGGGCGGGCACAAGCCGGCGTGAGTAGGTTAAACGTTGAGTTTTATAAGGGCACCACGGGGTGACCAGCCCCTCCCCACCCAGCCCCTCCCCACCCAGCCCCTCCCCACCCAGCCCCACCCCTCCCACCCCCCACCCTCCCCACCCAGCCCCTCCCCACCCTCCCCACCCAGCCCCTCCCCACCCTCCCCACCCCACCCAGCCCCACCCTCCCCACCCAGCCCCTCCCCACCCAGCCCCTCCCTCCCCACCCTCCCCTCTCCACCCCTCCCATTTTTGGATGCACGACGGACGGACGTACACAATAATCCCCTGTGGGCTGGTGTAACTAGGAGGTTCCTACCAGTATAACCAAGTAGATACATCTATCCTAAGTGAACAAAAGGTTATGAGACCTCCTTTGCCAGAAACAAGATATAGGAATAGGTTTGACCCTATTAACTGGCACAAAAACTGACACCTTTATTCAAGGCATCATGTTTGCAATAACCACAACACAAGCAGTCAAAATGCAAACCAAAAAGACAACTCTGATAATAATATGCACTGTCCTTGAATTTGATTGGTCCACACCCGAGACAGCTTTTCTTAGAGCCTAGTCTCCATTGGTGTTGGACCAGAAGACGCCAAAAGGCGTACAACTCAAAAAACAGCGCACTATCAGAGTATTGAGGGCTCGGGGTGAGCATTTACATTATGAGACCTCCTTTGCCAGAAACAAGATATAGGAATAGGTTTTACCCTTTTAACTGGCACAAAACTGACACCTTTATTCAAGGCATCATGTTTGCAATAACCACAACACAAGCAGTCAAAATGGTCCAACACCAATGGAGACTAGGCTCTAAGAAAAGCTGTCTCGGGTGTGGACCAATCAAATTCAAGGACAGTGCATATTATTATCAGAGTTGTCTTTTTTGTTTGCATTTTGACTGCTTGTGTTGTGGTTATTGCAAACATGATGCCTTGAATAAAGGTGTCAGTTTTTGTGCCAGTTAAAAGGGTAAAACCTATTCCTATGAACAAAAGGTTGTTCGATGTTTGATAGCAACAGGCCCACCACCATTTGCCTTGGTAGCCGAGTCCAATGTCGCATGACCTCGGCTCGGCTTCACACTCGCCCCGCTCCTGCCACATGATGTATTGCACTGCAAGTATGTCGATTCGTGGATGCAAATTCGTGGTTGGAAAGGGATTACTGTACTTATTTTGTTTTCAGCTTAGGTTTAACTTTTTGATACAGTCTGTTTGGTGCTAACCAATGTAGCAGCTTTGTGTTCTACCTTCGCTGGCCAGTACACCAAGGGGTTTTACAAATATTGATTCCCTTCGAGGGGTACTGCGCAAATATGTGGAATATTCCGTGCTCGGGGTCACAGGAAGTGGGATGTTCTCTCCCGCGGCACCACAGAAGGCACAGCACGTACAAGGACGACACTGGGCCACTTGAACAGCATTCAGCACAAAGCACTTTTATTGGACAGCCAATGGGAGCTGTTGGATTGCCATCGCGAGCGGCTGCATCCAGACAGCCGGCACGAGCGAGCTCGGTCGCGTCATCGTGAAGCCCCAGAAACCAGACGATAGACGCTCTGCAGCGTGAACAAGAACAACAAAAACCACGTGGAGCTGCTCGGCGTGGACTCTACTCCTCCTTTGCATCAGACTCCACCTCCTTCCCGATCTGGTCTATCACTGCAAAATAAAACAATCAAGCGTAAGAAATAAATTTTTAAATCAACGACTCATGAGCAACAACTGGGCAGGTAGTCCCAGAGTGAAGCTGCAGCCCCCATCCCCACCTCGCTGGAGACTGTGGCGAGGCACCATCCGTCAGGTTGTCCAACCCCCTCTGAGCTTGGGTGGTACACGACGGGAATCCATCCAGCGGGAACACACAGACGCAATCGAATTGCTTCCCATCCCTAGTACATCTCATGATCATCATCAGTTGATTTCCAAATCGCATAAAGAACACAGGTGCACTCATTAGCTGCTATGAACTTCACAAAAATCGTCTCCATCTATCCCTGGTGATGGCGAGTGGTGGTGGTGGGGACGAGCGCCCAATCTCACCCAGATCTGGAGCAACGCAGCCAACCCCACACGGGACGCTGCAGCACTTCTGCTTGCCAGGGCAGTCGTCGTCACTCCTGCAGCCGTCGTTATAGCGGATGCAGACGATGGCCGAGAAGTTCCAGACCGGGCACGACCCAGCCTTCACTGAAACACGCACCACACAAGCACGAGGGGACGAGCAGATCGGGCATGAAGCCATTTTATACGGCAAATTGAAGCACATCTTGCCTGGGGGAGGTAAGAGCGGTGTCTGCAAAGAAAAATGCAAGAAAAAAAACATAAAATGTAGAGTTCAGACCTGTGCTAGTGTTATTGGACTCACAATTAACGCGATTAATTTAATTGTTAACTTAAATTGCAAACTCTCTACAAAAATGAGAAGCACGGAGAGGCAAGCATGGTATACGTTTGGAGTTCAAGATCCACGTGTAAGAGCTAGGATTAGAGAATGTGTTAGGAGACATCATTGACAAGTGGACGTGATGGCAAGTGGGCTTGCCATCATCCCTCCTAAAGAACACGCAACTAGACATGGCCAGTGGTCGAGACTAACGATGGAATGGCGCCCAAAGGAGGGAATGCGCCCAAGGTGATGTCCACCGTGGATAGTTGAGATCAGCCGATGGACTGTTGCTTCACAAGACGGTGAGAGTTGCCAAGGCCTTCATCCAGGAGTGCAAAGATCATGGCTGCTGATGCTAATGATGCCGCTAGCAGTGATGATGGCACGATCTTCCTTCTCTCAAGACTGGGAAATGATTGAGGCTGGCGCGTACCTGGTTTGATGCAGATCAGCTCGCAGCCCGTGTTGCAGCACTTCTCATTGTCCGGGCACTGCCAGTCCTGCTGGCATTGGTTGAGGTCTGGGCGGACCACGCATTTGATGCGCCTGATGGTGTCGATATACGGACAAAATCCGTTCTTGTTTTTGACTGAGAAAACAATCGCACAGCAACGACTAAGTCAGCAGCTGTACTCAACATTGCTTTCAAACAATAAGGAGATAACATTCTGCAACATCCACGTGACGAGTTTCATGGATGCATTGATTGATTAAAATCAGGTCAAGTTCTAGATATTCATCGAATCAGAAATTAATCGTGTGACTTTTGTACCTTGTTTGTATAAATGTCTAATTACATTTATTGAATTACCCAATTGCTTAAGGGGGTGTATGGGAGTGGTCAATGCAGTACTGGGGGTCCTCGATATACGTCGTCTTGATATACGCTGTTTCGTACTCACATCACCGACTTTTTTAAAGAACACAACGTAAAATCTCCCCCCATATACGTCGTTTTAGACTCGGTTCAGCCAAGCTGAGTCTAAAATATCGTGCGTGGGTGTGTAGTGGTTAGCACGCTGCGCGGCTAGCCCGGTGACCCCACTTCGATTCCTGCTCACGGCCAACACGAGTGACGATTATCGTTTTCGATGATAATTTTCGACTAAAATCAGCTGAACTCGGCTCTGGCAGGGGGTAGAGACAGAGACGTATTGTACAACTCGCGCGAGCGCCATCACCTTCTCAGTCCCATCGCCCCGTCACGTGCGTAGCTACGAGTGCTCATTGTAATCGGCACGGACTTCATCGCTAAATATCATCGCAACCCTTAAACACAACTCATACACTCCACAAGTGAAGATGATGACAAATATAGGTTAAGGTAAAATCTTTAAAAAATGCTGTTCAAGATTCTGTGCCTTTTTACAATAAAAATGGTTTTCTGTTGGATTAAATTCTTTAAAATGTTTAAAATGTGTTTTCTACGAAAAAAAATAAAACGTGTTAAAGTGTACAGGGCTGCTGCGAAATGCTCATCATAATGGTTTTCAATGAAGTGTTTGATAAGTGTAAATGCTGTTTAAAGCTTCTTGAACTCAGAATTGGTTGTGTACATTGCGTTGTATGGAATAGTACAGGTACTGTACGTGGTTTTCTATACATGTAGAGTACATTTTGATTGCTAGGTAAGGTCCCTATCCCTACCTTCCATTGTTTTTTTATGGGAGAAATTTCCCCACTTTGCGTCGCATAGGCAATGTTTATCCTCTCACGGGGCCAATCCCCCCCCCCCCCCCCCCATGAACAAATGTAGTGATACACAACACTTTAGTCTTCAATAAGTCTTTATTTCTTCCAGCACGAGACGCGGTTTTCAAAGATTCCCTTCACTCCAAGGGTCTCGAGCTCTCGCGTCCCCCCCCCCCTTTATATATCCCACAAGCCCCTTTCTGGAAGGTTCCTTGACCCACTTTCCCTCCAGCCTATCACCTTCCACTTTCTCTAACGGATCCCAACCGACCTCCCTGTCAATCATCCCCAGTTTTCCACTCTTTCCATTTGTGTCTCTCCTCCAATCCCTTCAATTACCCTACCTCGAACCAATCCCCTTTCAGGCCCGTTAAGTACCAATCAGAGGGCTTGTTGCTTCCTGATTAACTATGTCACGTGGTGTCCACCACGTCTGGTGAGTAACGTTCGTAGTGATACAACCTCTACACATGTATTCATTTGGGGGAAAAGTCCCCGTTATACATCGTTTCGGTATAAGTAGCAACTTTCCAGTCCCTAACCCTGACGTATTTCAGGGACCCCATGGAGCACTTCTGCCTTCAACTTACCCGCACCTCCATGGTGCGGGCGACTCTGGGATTTGGTCTCCAGTGCCTCCAAGCACACACCGCTGTACACCACACAGGGGTAACCGGCTAAACCAGGCGACGGTAGCTGGCAGGTGGACTTCTGCCATTCTTGCCCCCTGCCAGCATCTGAAAACTGGTGGCCAAAGGCAGACGAGACGCTCTCAACATACAAATGGAATGTTTGGCATCTCTGCACTGCAGGTATCCGTGCGGGGACTTGGACATCGTCTGCGGCGGACCCCAGCGTAGGTGGATTCAAGTCACCCGTGCCACCGCATCTCACTGGGGTCACGCAATGTGTGGGCTAACCCCAGTGCAGTGGCTACTGGCCGTATTCCTCACACGCTCAGCTCAGTACACCTCTGCAATTTTCTTCGGGTGTCCATCGCAAACGATGGTGACTGCGGAGGACATATAGCATTTTCCTGCATGCTGGTGGCATAAGAGCCCAGCCCTTGAGCGGAAGCATCGGCCGCACTGTGGGCAAGAGTTTCTCGTCTGCTGAATGGGCTTTGTGTTGTGGTGTTTCTGGTGTTGATGCTGAAAGGCTTTTTCTATTTTTTACTCAACCCTCTTGACCACTTCTCGACTGCTTACGGATAATTGACATTTCCTCCCATGTATACACATTGATATTGGCTGTCTTGAGGTGTCTTTTAAGGACGTTTTTGTCGCAGTTTTTGGCCACCAGGAACACGCTTATCCTCTTTGACTTCACCGTAAAGTAGGATTTTAGGAAGCCGATATTCTGCCATTCGAGTTACGTTCCCTGCACATCTCAACTGAGAGGAGGTAACTGTTGCCTCTACACTAGGAATTTTAGCTCTCGCCAGCACCGAGGTGCTTGAAATCGCAACTTGATCCTCATGATTTGTCTCAAATGTCTCAGCTGCAGGCTCATTAGTTTTTTCAGGTGTTGTCTGTATAGGGTCAGTGTCTAACATTTTCATACCGTGCTCGGACCAAAGACGCTTATTCAGGCGACCGAATGCCTTCGATGCAGCTTCAAGGTGCAATGTCGGTGTTTACAGAGTTGTCGTTTGACACGGTGCTTCCCAGGTAAGTGAACGAGTTCACACATTTGAGAGTTTCACCATTGACAAAATTATGTGGGTGATTGTTGATTAGTTTGTTTGTTGGTTGCAACTACATCTCAGTCTTACTTGTGTTGATTTTTAGCCCAAATCATTCCAGCTGTGAGAAACTTAGGCCGTGTCTTTGGCAACAATACGTTTTTGGACAAACTGTCCTCTAACTTTGGTGTTAGCATGTAGCCTAGGCAGATGAAACAGCTCGCCATCGCTCTGGGTTCATATATTTACACTCGGGGTTGTGAGCACTGCTGAACGTAAGAGGATAAAGAGGGTGGGGGCCAGCACATATCCCTGTTTCACTCCATGGCAAATGTGAAAACGGTCCGTCACATTTCCTGCGACCGATACCCAACCACTCAAGTTGTCATGAAACTGTCTGATGATGTTTACAAAGTGCTCTGGACATCCATAGGCTCTTATAACTTTCCAGAGTGTGTTTCTATGCACCGTGTTGAATGCCTTTAAGAAATCGACAAAAACCACAAACAGATCTTGGTGCTGCTCAGCCGCTGTTTTTGTCGTTCTGTAAGGGTGAAACTCTTGTGTGGTTTGTTAATCTTCCTGCACGAATACCACACTGATTCTCAGGGAGTACTCGCTCCGCTGTGACTTTCAGCCTATTTAGGCAAGGATCTTCCCTGCTATTGACAGAAGGGAGATACCACGATGGCTTCACCTGTTCAATTACTCGCTCGACTGCAGTACACAGTGAGTGCTGTTGAGACACGTTTGGCGGAGGATGCGAGTCACGCTGCTGCGGAGAGATCTAAAAATTACGGTGACGACGATGATAATGGTGATGATGGTGATGGTGGCGAGGATGCCTTGACCTCCACTTGACTGTAACGATGGAGGATGGCGTACCGGGCTTTCTGCAGGCCGTCACGCAGCCCCTGTTGCAGCACTTTTGCTCCCCGGGGCACTGCCAGTCCTCGCTGCACTGCGGGGGTCTGAATGCGCAGCGGATGAGGCTGGTGTACACAAACGGACACTCGCCGGGCTTGGGTTTCCCTGAGAAAACAATCGCACGGCGTCAGACGACGATCCCCCTGCGTAGCCTTAACAGACTATTGGGGCAATTGCTGTTAGTGAGTAGCACCTATGAAGGCTGGAAGGGCACACGAATGGGTGGGTGGTACCAACACCTAGGGGAGGCCCAGGACCAATTCAGATAATCATCGCTGGTGTTGGCTATAAGTGGGAATCGAACTCTGGTATCCGGGTTCGCAGCGTAGTTTGCTAACCCGTTATGCTTCCACTCCTCAGGGCCACATCACCAGCTGCACCTACGCAGCATGGCTCTCAAAGAACAGAAACACAAATCCATAACCTTCATCTTGGGGGTGCGACGACCCTTGGATTCCTCAGGTGACAACAGTCCTTAAGCTCGCAATGCGTCCGTCCAACCATGTGCGTACGAACATGTGCCTGTCGATGTGTACATGTGCCTGTCAATGTGTACACGTGCCTGTCGATGTGTACATGTGCCTGTCGATGTGTACACGTGCCTGTCGATGTGTACACGTGCCTGTCGACGTGCGCACCTTTTCCGTGATTCGCGGTGTGGCTGTACGCCGCTTGGTGATGCGCCCTCATCAGCGATGCCCAGTGGAACAGCAGTGACACTTTAGACACGTGTCATGTGTCCCTCTCTGTCCCCATGACCCTCTGTGTCCCCTGTTTCCCTTTGTGTCTCCCTGTCTCCCCATGCCCCGTGTTCCTCTGTGTCCCCATGTCCCCGCGTCCCTCTGCGTCTCCCTGTTTCCCCCCACGTCCCTCCCACGTCCCTCCCACCTGGCTTCACGTCTTCACAGCGATTCCCACACGAGTGCGGGCAGCACTTCTGGACGCCGGGGCATTCGCCGTCACCGCGGCAGCGGTCGTTCTTCCATATGCAGTATTGGATGTGGAAGGGGTCCGGTTCTCGACAGCACCCGGGTCTCACCTCTGGCTTCACTCTGCCTACACGCAGGCAAAGGGGGTGGGGGGGGGGCACAGGGGTCACGGAGGGGGAGCACAGGGGTCATGGGGGCGGGAGGTGAGAACCGATCCTTCAGGCCAATAGAAGCCGACTAAGCCCGCCTGCTCCTCCTTCCATGTAGAGTTGATCATCAATTATCCGGCGCGATTGTACAGCTTCTAACATTATTCAGGGGTTCTGGTTCGATCCGGCAAAACCGCTCCAAGGGCTGTAACCAGTTCGGTGATCGGAACCATGTGTGTGACAAAAAAATGAGTTATACAGTACTTGATTTCAGTGTTAAATATTACATACCATACATTATACACTACATAAAACTTAAATAATGAAAATACTGTACGTATAATACATTTTTCATGACTAATCACTCCAGTAATAAAAACTGAAAATATACAGTGCGATCCCGGTGAACATTTCATGAAATTCGGCATTCTTCGGCAATTGATGAGCACGTAAATACGGTAACTTTTTACAGTAGGATATTTCGGATGTTTATTTATTCCAATTTCATAGTAAAAAAGTTGAAAACACAAGAAATATATACACATATACACCTAAAAACATGCTTTTACAGGAATCTGGGGAAAAAAGTTACTTTTAAATAATTAAGTAAACACCCGACGTTTTTGAAAATCCGGCACGAAGCCGCCGGATATTCGACGACCTCCTGAATGACCCACCCCTCCACCGGTCCATCCCCACCGACGAGGGGACTGCTCGACAGCCCCAGGGGGCCGTTACAAACTCTCCCGTTGCTCACGCTCGCCTCACCCAGCTCCACTTGGATCGGCTTGAGAACCGGCAACGTTAAGCCGCTCGGCCCGAGGACCTGCGGCTGCACGCAGCTGTGGCCACAGCCGTTGCTGCAGCACTTCTGCTCCCCAGGGCAGCTGTCGTCGTCCGTGCACGCCTCGTCGCACGTTCCCATGGTGTCAGGAGGCAGCGTCGGGCAGGAGCCGGGCTTCACGGCCACTGTCGGAGAAATCGAATTGGAAGCATGGACATCGTCATCATGGTCAGGGCATTGTCACCCTGTCAGGGCACCGTCGCACAAAGGGGTCAAGGGGGCAGGGGATGAGAACCGATCCTTCAGACCAATAGAAGCCGACTACGACCACCTGCTCCTCCTTACCATAAATGTCCCACCATATACAAATGTACAAGTATCCTTGAAAAAGAATTCCATCAGTTCCACGGCCTTCCTTCTAGGGCGGGAGTGCAATCATTTCAGCAGCTCGTCTGGAGCGGTCCCCAGGATGGGAACCCGCTCCCCGTCCATCCCCACCGCCACCCCCTCCTCCGCCCGCCCATCTCCACCGCTCCGCCCACTCATCCCCACCGCTCCCAATCCCAACACTCTCCCCCCCACCGACGAGGGGACTGCTGGACACCCCCAGGGTGCCGTTACAAACTCTACCGACCGAGGTCCATCCCGTTGCTCACGCTCGCCTCACCCAGCTCTGCATCTTTCAGAATGAGATCCTCTGGCTGCACGCAGCTGTGGCCACAGCCGTTGCTGCAGCACTTCTGCTCCCCGGGGCAGCTCTCGTCGACCGTGCACGCCTCGTCGCACGTCCCCACGGTGTCAGGGGGCGGCGTAGGGCAGGAGCCGAGCTTCACGGCCACTGTCGGAGAAATCGATATGGAAACATCAACATCATCAGCCTGGCCAGGGCACCGTTGCCCTGGTCGGGGCACCGTCACCCTGGCCAGGGTAGCGTCACCCTGGTCAGGGCATCGTCACCCTGGTCGGGGCACCGTCACTCCGGTCGTGGCACCTTCACCCTGGTCGGGGCACCGTCACCCTGGTCGGGGCACAGACACCCTGGCCAGGGCACCGTCACGCACAGTATCCTTTTTACTCATTCCCGCAGTCACACGGCCTTCTTTCTGGAGAAGGCGTTCCATCATTACAGCTGCCCATGTCTCCCTCTCATGTCAATCTACTCCCCTCCACGCACTCTCCTACCTCTCCCCTCTCATCTCACTCTACTCCCCTCCACGCACTCTCCTACCTCTCCCCTCTCATCTCACTCTACTCCCTTCCACACACTCTCCTGCCTCTCCCCTCTCATCTCACCGACGAGGGGACTGCTCGACAGCCCCAGGGGGCCGTTACAAACTCTCCCGTTGCTCACGCTCGCCTCACCCGGCTCCACTTGGATCGGCTTGAGAACCGGCAACTTCACGCCACTCGGCCTGAGGACCTGCGGGTCCACGCAGCTGTGGCCACAGCCGTTGCTGCAGCACTTCTGCTCCCCAGGGCAGCTGTCGTCGTCCGTGCACGCCTCGTCGCACGTCCCCACGGTGTCAGGAGGCAGCGTTGGGCAGGAGCCAGGCTTCACGGGCACTGTCAGAGCAATCGAATTGGAAGCATGGACATCGTCATCATGGTCAGGGCATTGTCACCCTGGTCAGGGCACCGTCGCCCTGGTCAGGGCACCATCGTCCTGGTCAGGGCACAGTCGCACAAAGGGGTCAAGGGGGCAGGGGATGAGAACCGATCCTTCAGACCAATAGAAGCCGACTACGCCCACCTGCTCCTCCTTACCATAAATGTTCCACCATATACAAATGTACAAGTATCCTTGAAAAATAATTCCATCAGTTCCACGGCCTTCCTTCTAGGGAGGGAGTGCAATCATTTCAGCAGCCCGTCTGGAGCGCTCCCCAGGATGGGAACCCGCTCCCCGTCCATCCCCACCGCCACCCCCTCCTCCGCCCGCCCATCTCCACCACTCCGCCCACTCATCCCCACCGCTCCCAATCCCAACACTCTCCCCCCCACCGACGAGGGGACTGCTGGACACCCCCAGGGTGCCGTTACAAACTCTACCGACCGTGGCCCATCCCGTTGCTCACGCTCGCCTCACACAGCTCTGCATCTTTCAGAATGAGATCCTCTGGCTGCACGCAGCCGTGGCCACAGCCGTTGCTGCAGCACTTCTGCTCCCCGGGGCAGCTCTCGTCGACCGTGCACGCCTCGTCGCACGTCCCCACGGTGTCAGGGGGCGGCGTAGGGCAGGAGCCGGGCTTCACGGCCACTGTCGGAGAAATCGATATGGAAACACCAACATCATCAGCCTGGCCAGGGCACCGTTGCCCTGGTCGGGGCACCGTTACTCTGGTCGGGGCACCTTCACCCTGGTCGGGGCACCGTCACCCTGGTCGGGGCACAGACACCCTGGCCAGGGCACCGTCACGCACAGTATCCTTTATACTCATTCCCGCAGTCACACGGCCTTCTTTCTGGAGAAGGCGGTCCATCATTACAGCTGCCCATGTCTCCCTCTCATCTCACTCTACTCCCCTCCACGCACTCTCCTACCTCTCCCCTCTCATCTCACTCTACTCCCTTCCACGCACTCTCCTACCTCTCCCCTCTCATCTCACTCTACTCCCTTCCACACACTCTCCTGCCTCTCCCCTCTCATCTCACCGACGAGGGGACTGCTCGACAGCCCCAGGGGGCCGTTACAAACTCTCCCGTTGCTCACGCTCGCCTCACCCGGCTCCACTTGGATCGGCTTGAGAACCGGCAACGTTAAGCCACTCGGCCTGAGGACCTGCGGCTGCACGCAGCTGTGGCCACAGCCGTTGCTGCAGCACTTCTGCTCCCCAGGGCAGCTGTCGTCGTCCGTGCACGCCTCGTCGCACGTTCCCATGGTGTCAGGGGGCAGCGTAGGGCAGGAGCCGGGCTTCACGGCCACTGTTTGGGGGGGGGGGGAAATGGAAGCACGGGCACCATCGCCCTGGTCAGGGTACTGTCGCCCAGGTCAGGGCACCATCGCCCTGGTCAGATCATCGTCGCCCTGGTCAGAGCATCGTCACCCTGGTCAGAGCATCGTCACCCTGGTCAGGGTACTGTCGCCCTGGTCACGGCACCATCGCTCTGGTCACGACACCGTCGCCCTGGTGAGGACACACGAGCAGGCACGCGACTAGCAGGCAGAGACGCAGCGAGGGTCGCCCCAACCGAACAGAGGGCGCTGATCACCGCAGCGTTGTGCGGTACGAGGGCTGAGCCCGAGGCGAACCCGGGGCTACCTTGGCGGAGTGACGCTCGACTGACAAAGGCAAAGATCCCCCGCGTCGCCTTTCGTACAACGGAGCGTCTCGCCACGCACCGCCGTACTCACCGTCACTCTTTCCGCAGAAACATCTCCGACGTTCACTCGGCCCCTCCCCAAGATCTCTACTGGACATCGAATATTCACATCAGGCTGGAGAACGTCTCTCTTCCTTGCAGCGACAGTGGTGACTGGGCGAACTCAACACGGAGTCTCCGGCTTCACATTCTTCTCGAGTAGCCGATTTGGGCGGCCAAGACGCCGGCAGCGCTGACGGACATCGCTCAGTGATGGACATCGCTCGCGGGCCGTTTGGAATCGGAAGGTCTCATGTGGTCGTAGGCAGGGCCAGGTTAAGTTTAAGGGGGGCCCGCGGCTCTCATTCTTTGGAGAGGAGGCCTTAGTTGTGCAATCAGTTCCTTGCCTTGACTACTTCACCATCACCCATGCCCGATAATACCAAACACCTCCACTGTTATTTACCTCGGTCAATTCAGCTCCGGATCTGTAAATGTGATACACGCATTGTGAAGCCAAATCAACGTTAGAGAGAAAATATTCTGTCGTAACACGACAATAAACGCCGCCATTCACCGCTAAGCAGCAATGATGTCAGTACAGCGCTTGTACCAAGCTAGGTACACGTTGAGGCCACGCGAAGTGTGGAAGGCTCGCCGACAGGTCACGTAAAATACCCAGGTTTCATGTGTTGACTGCCTGAGATGACTGGCAGATGCACCACCTGCGCATCCTGATCTGCCACCTCTCTGCGTTTTAGTTACCTGACTCTCCGCTCGCTATTGTGAGCGTCGCCCCTTTAACCTCTGCTGTGGTTGGAGGATGACTGCCTCCAACTTCCCAGTAGCGTCCTTCACGAGCATCCTCCACAGAGGAGTGGCATCTTTTCATCAGCTGCGTAATTCTGTGTGGAAGCTACCTGGCCTGTCGCTCCACGCGAAGCTTCGGGTTTTCTCTGCCATAGTTATGCCCTCCCTTCTCCATGCTTGAGAAGCGTGGATCCCTCCAATCGATCATCTGCACCTGTTATAAATAGTCAAGCTGACCTGCCTACGATCCATCCTGGTTTTAACCAGGCGGGATTGTGTGAGGAGCTCGCAGATCCTTGAAAGATCTGAACAGTCTCATCACGAGCTTCTCCGGGAGGCAAGGCTGCGTTGGCTGGGCGATGTAGCCCGCATGCCCAGCCAATTAAAGCACAATCTGCTTTTTTTGGCTGGAGATAGGGGGCTAAATGGGCGAGGCACGGGCTGAAGAAGCGATGGTACGGGAGGATGTGGAGCTGAGTGGACTTGCTTAAGACCAGCACCATGTCGTAGTGACACACACACACGGACATTGTGGCTTCAGTCACCAGATTAGGCTGCCTCTAAAGTGGATCTAAGTGCCGCAGTTTCGCTGTTCACCGTCATTACAGGGAGGGTTGCGTTGCTTCGAGCCCCCAGAAATGTGATGCCTGGGGACTGCAGCCCCGAGCTCCCATGAGTTTGTTCCTCTGATGTATCTTTCTCGACAGTGATTCCTCAATTTCATTCCTATTTAATGTCTGCCGTAAGAGCCCTCTGATTCCACCAGCTCATGAGAGGCGCTGTACAATGGTAACGGGCGAGTGTTGTCAATGCGTTGCATGCACCTCTGCTCTAACGTGACACACACTATCTCTGCTGCGACATCACACAACGATCTCCAACAACAACACATCCGATTATCACGGTTGGCTACATACCGAGCGAAGGATTGTCAACATACAACAGAACAGCAGCAGTCGCACTCACCTGCTGACGGTGACTGCAGAAGCAGCAGCTGCAGCATCGCGATCATCATCGGCAGAGCAAGCCGGGACGAAGCAGAGACCCGAACCATCGTCATCATCGTGGTGAAGGCGTCTGCTGCTGCTGCTGCAGGTTCCTGCAGATTTATAGAGCTGCTCTGCCCCCCCTCTCCAACCTCCCCTCCCCCCTCCTCCACCTCCTCCATCCTCATCCTCTCCCACCTCTCCTCCCTCCTCCTCCAACCTCCTCTCGCTCGTCCCCCCTCCCACCACCCCGGCCACTCACCCGCTCACCCCAAGAGTGGAGCACAAGACAAAGATCCCCCGTATAGCCTTAACAGACTTTTGGAGCAAGTGTTGTTAGCGAGTGGCAGTGGTAAAGGCAGAAATGGTACACTAGAGACGGGTGACCAGCACTACGCTCGGCCGCCTTTGTCTCCCTCGTGGTGTTGTTTCACAATCGGATTTTTTTTCATCCTGGAGGAATCCGATGAGCTATAAAGCTCTTTTTTCACAGATGTCTAGTAGGGGCGAGTAAGAACATTTCAACAACCAATACAAAAACACGGTAGGAGTGCAGAGTACAAAAAGTTAAACAAATCACCCAAACAAAAAAACGAAACCATCCTCATTAAATGATGGATGGACTGAATGGGAGTTAACGAGTGATCGTCGTATGCTGACAACATGTCAAGGGGAACAGTGACGGTGGTGGTTGCGAGGGGGGGGAGATGAAGCTGGAGTCGCGGGATGAGCTCGAGAATGAAAGCAGCGAGTTTTAGAGCGAGTCAAAGCAACTCGTGGGCGGAGGTTGCCTGTCGACTAATGGGGTAGAGTGGGGGAGTAATGGAGCATCATATACATCAAATAATATAAAAGAAAAATACCGCAGGTGCTCGTTTAAGCTACAGGTGTCCCTCGGTTAATAGTTTAAACAACGCACTAGGTACTATTTTTTAGACTGAGTCGACCTAGAGGAGGTTCAGGACGGGTTTAGATAATCGTCACTAGTGTTGGTGGCCGTTCTGTATGACCACAGTCGCACACTGATGGAGAGTTTTTTTTTTATACCTCCCACGGCACGGCTGAGCTGAGCTCCTCGCTGGGAAGAGCAACGCGCGGCGCTCCACGTGTGAGTCGGGAGAGAGGCGGCGAGAGGGAGGGGGGGGGAGTTGGATGGCATCACCCCCACCATCATGCACGCCACGATGCCGTCAACACGGTTTCGTTGTTTTACATTGCGGAGTGAGTTCACGGCGACTTCATAACCATTTCTATAGACGCAACTGTATCATCACATATAGAGACACAACAATATAAATCGGTAATTGCCGTGAGTGCGGTACAGGCGCAGCTCTGCAATTGCTCGCCCATCCCCACTGCTGGCAGAAGAGGCCTCCACTACGGTTGGCTACGTACGGTGCGAAAGGAGTAAATTAGCTCTAGTGATCTACAGTGTATTTGGCCTACTCTTCTTCCCACCGCTGCTCACCACATGTGACCTGCCAATTGCTTGTGAGATGGAAACGGCAGCAAAGGTTGAGGGACAGAATCAACAATCATGAGCCACGTTCGACCCACTGCTCGATTAAGGCATCCCCGTTTTTCCGCCATCTCTCACGGCCTTGCAATTATTAACTTTAACTTATTTTATTTTACCAAGTAAGGCCGACTGAGCTATATAGCTCTTTTTTAGAGGCGACCTGGTCACAAATGATTGCTCAACGAAGTGGCTTATCACGTGGACATTAATTTATAGCAGCCAAATAATCCAAACGCATGTTTCCAAATGTGGAAGGAAAATCCGGAGGACCCGGACAAAAATCCACGCAGCCACGGGAATAAAACACACAAACTCCAAATATACAGCAGGCGTCAGGGTCGGGATCGAATCTACGACCTGATGGTGATGCCACAATCCGGCAGCTTGCTCCTCTTCACCTCAGCTGATCTCATCGCTCTGTCTCCACGATGGTCGACCTCTCGGGAATATTCCCCACATTGGCTGCCACTCAATCACCAGTCTTGCCCATGAGCGGTCATTCAAAATGCTATGCAGTTTGGCCTCAAGGCAGCACCCACGTGGGACCGTACCCCACGATGACCGTTCCTGCCACCAAGACCCTCAGCCTCGTCCTGTGCGCCGCAGCGCCCTCCACGAGGCAGCCCTGGGGAAAACACTCGCTCATCATCTCATCATCTTCAATTCGTGCGTGGACTGTCACGTGCCTGCCCCAGTCAGTCTTCTCACCGGGGGTGGCTGTAGCGTGTGGGCAACGGGAAGTTGCGTGCGACGTGACCCGACCGCTCAAAGTGGAAGCAGGTCACGGGAGCCCTGGCGGGGTGAGATCCCTGCTCGACACTCCTTCTATCCTCTCAGTTGACCGAATTCGGCTTGCAGATGGTCAACTCGGCAGTATATGCAATCCATTTCGCACATCATGTTGCGCATTTCATGGTGGGCGTCGCTCAGCCCCTGCTTTATGTCACCCATTTTGTGGTGGACGTCACCTAGCCCGTGCGTTATGTCACCCATTTTGTGGTGGATGTCACCTAGCCCCTGCTTTATGTCGCCCATTTTGTGGTGGACGTCACCTAGCCCCTGCTTTATGTCACCCATTTTGTGGTGGACGTCACCTAGCCCGTGCTTTATGTCACCCATTTTGTGGTGGACGTCACCTAGCCCCTGCTTTACGTCACCCATTTTGTGGTGGACATCACCTAGCCCGTGCTTCTACTCCGTGACGCCGTCGTCGTTGCTGGCCACGCTGACTGCCCAGTCTGAGGTTGCTGCGGTGGGCCCGGTCGTTGGAGGGGTGCCTGCGGCTGCTGAGTGTTAATAGTTGGGCGAACCGCGTGTTAATAGTTGGGCGAATCCCACTGGGGTTCGCCAGGTCATTTTGCCACCACTCTGTGGACAGCAGGCAAGAGTGTGGTCTGCGTCCAGCTAAATTTTGAATTACGTCGGCATCGGCCCAGGTATTTTCGTGCTCTGTGTAACCGGTGTGGTTGTGTTACGAACAAATGGTGCGTATATTCGCACTTCCATATTAAGGAGGGTATCATTAGTCGGTGTTAAACTTGTGAATGTTGCTGGGTCACGGTTGGCTTAGGATAGCAGGGCGGTATGTTAGGCCAGTCCTTTCGTTAAACGCAGGTTATGCAGACACGTGCTTCAATTGCCAGTCCCGTGACCACTGGACAAGGGATCTTGAAGAGAGGGAGGCCTGCATCGGGGGCCAATCGTGATGCCAGCTCGTCGATATTCCAGGTCCGTTGGCGTACCTGTGTGCTGAGAGCGTTACGAATAATCAGATGCCGTTTTGGAACCTCGTCACCCACTCAGAAGATCCTGCCGGTGTGCACGTGGCCGGTGTTGGGAGCGAGAGTGAGTCGTGTAGCAGTTGACAAGGAGGAGGATTGCGCAGCGGAACCAATGAAAACAACGCAGGAGTGCTACCAAAACTTGATGGCCACCCTGTGTCCTCGATAATGATCACGGCTAGGAAAGATTAAGGGACAGTGGGCACGGGTCACATCTTGTCAACTGGAGGTCTTCTGTATAATCCCTCATAACCTCCACTGGGTTCCTCTGGCACGCGCATAGGGCCGCCTCAGTTACCTCGGCACCTAGAGGCCCAAACCTCTCCTCCATAATGGCCAGGAGCTGGCCGAAGGAACTTTGTCGGTGGCGGGTAGCCGATTAGCGAAAATGGCTGGGCAACCATCTACGTGGGCTAACATATGTTGCTGTGCTACAGCGTCCATCCACCTCTTGAGGGTACAGGCTAGGTCTCTACAGCTCGATTAAACCCTTGCCACGAGGAAGGGCTCTTTCCACTCAAATCGGCGTGGATCTTCCGCCGGGCTATGAGATGCACTCCCATGCTAGACGCATCATGCTGGCGGTAGTCAGTTCACACGCATTACCACTCAAAAGCTTCTCACACCCAGCACAATTACCACGCAATAGCACGCAAAAAAGACAAAGATCCCCCGTATAGCCTGACCAGACTGTTGGGGCAAGTGTTGTTAGCAAACACCTATAAAGGCACACGAGAGGGTGGGTGGCCAGCACCACGCCCGGCAGCCTTTGTCTCCCTAGTGGCTGAGTCGTCACTGGTGTTGGCCGTGAGCAAGAATGGAACTGAGGCCGCCGGGTTCGTATCCCAGCGCGCTAACCGCTACACGACCGCTACCCACAGTAACACGCGCACACACACACCGTAGCACGCAGCACAATTACCACACAATGGCACGCACTAACATGCAAAGCCCATCACAATGAAGCACGGCAATTAATAATACCGTATTTACGGCTTGGCGCGTAATCATCAAAGAATGCGTGCACGCACGACATTCAAGACCTTAGAAGTTAACGCGTCCCGTCTTCTTCGCAGGCCCAGAACAAAGACTCTAAATACAAAATCCCCGTATTCGACCACTAATTGCGGCAGTTAAATAATGCCTATTCTTACGACAGCGATTCACACACACACACACTTCAGTTTCAGTGGACTTTTATTTACCCTAAAATAAAGCGCGCCGCTCGAACAGACTCGCAAGTGGCGCGCGCTCTCCACCCTGGACGGAATTCCATGGGCTCCGATTGGCCTATACTCATTTATGCACGCGTGATGACATCACAGGCGTACACACGAGTACCTCATTTTATTTTGTTTCATGTGCATTGCCAATCGTGTACAAGTGTTCCTGCCGGGTGAGTCTTGAACTTCGTCTTCATCACGTCCTCCGCTCGCAGTGCGATTATGAGGATTCTCAGTCCGGTTTTGTGGGTCACGTGTCTCTGCGTGCAGGGTGGTCATGGTGCAGCGAGCATGGTCGACGTTGTGCTCGTGCGGAGTGCACCGTGAACACAGGCAACGTTTCAGGTAACTCCACGAGTGCATTTCATCTCCTGTTTAAACAGAGGGTTGGTGCGAGCACACAAGAGTGGGTGTTATATCGGAGTCGGGCCCGGGCTGCTCCAACGCTGCCCACAATGCAGTGCGCCCGCAGAGCCACGCGGTCGACAACCAGCAAGAGCAGCACCACGTGGGTCCCGTGAAAACAAAAAAACCGCGTTCTCCTTCACATGACAACGAACCGCGGCAGCCTTTGCTCCGTCACCCATGGGCAGTACGCCGAGGACTCTCTCGTTTGCTACTCCGCCTACAGCAGCCCTGGACCTGCTCGAACCCTCCTCCCACAGTACACGAAGGTGGCCAGCCCTTTAGCTCCGCGACAGGGCAGGCCACCACTGACAATGGAAAAATAAAGATTTCATCGGCCATGTTCAATCCACTGCTGAATGAAGGCCTTCCCCAAGCTACCAACACCTCCCAATTCGATGTAACAATCCATCCAGCATACCAACGGATCTCATCCATTCAATTGGCTGCCACCGTTTTATGTACAGTGAGGGAAAAAAGTATTTGATCCCCTGCTGATTTTGTACGTTTACCCCCTGACAAAGAAATGATCAGTCTATAATTTTAATGGTAGGTTTATTTGAACAGTGAGAGACAGAATAACAACAAAAAAGATCCAGAAAAAACGCATGTCAAAAATGTTATAAATTGATTTGCATTTTAATGAGGGAAATAAGTATTTGACCCCCTCTCAATCAGAAAGATTTCTGGTTCCCAGGTGTCTTTTATACAGGTAACGAGCTGACATTAGGAGCACACTCTTAAAGGGAGTGCTCCTAATCTCAGCTTGTTACCTGTATAAAAGACACTTGTCCACAGAAGCAATCAATCAATCAGATTCCAAACTCTCCACCATGGCCAAGACCAAAGAGCTCTCCAAGGATGTCAGGGACAAGATTTTAGACCTACACAAGGCTGGAATGGGCTACAAGATCATTGCCAAGCAGCTTGGTGAGAAGGTGACAACAGTTGGTGCGATTATTCGCAAATGGAAGAAACACAAAAGAACTGTCAATCTTCCTCGGCCTGGGGCTCCATGCAAGATCTCACCTCGTGGAGTTGCAATGATCATGAGAACGGTGAAGAATCAGCCCAGAACTACACGGGAGGATTTTGTCAATGATCTCAAGGCAGCTGAGACCATAGTCACCAAGAAAACAATCGGTAACACACTACGCCGTGAAGGACTGAAATCCTGCAGCACCCGCAAGGTCCCCCTGCTCAAGAAAGCACATATACATGCCGTCTGAAGTTTGCCAATGAACATCTCAATGATTCTGAGGACAACTGGGTGAAAGCGTTGTGGCCAGATGAGACCAAAATGGAGCTCTTTGGCATAAACTTAACTCGCTGTGTTTGGAGGAGGAGGAATGCTGCCTATGACCCCAAGAACACCATCCCCACCGTCAAACATGGAGGTGGAAACATTATGCTTTGGGGGTGCTTTTCTGCTAAGGGGACAGGATAACTTAACCGCATCAAAGGGACGATGGACGGGGCCATGTACCGTCAAATCTTGGGTGAGAACCTTCTTCCCTCAGCCGGGGCATTGAAAATGGGTCGTGGATGGGTATTCCAGCATGACAATGACCCAAAACACACGGCCAAGACAACAAAGGAGTGGCTCAAGAAGAAGCACATTAAGGTCCTGGAGTGGCCTAGCCAGTCTCCAGACCTTAATCCCATAGAAAATCTGTGGAGGGAGCTGAGGGTTCGAGTTGTCAAACGTCAGCCTCGAAACCTTAATGACTTGGAGAAGATCTGCAAAGAGGAGTGGGACAAAATCCCTCCTGAGATGTGTGCAAACCTGGTGGCCAACTACAATAAACATCTGACCTCTGTGATTGCCAACAAGGGTTTTGCCACCAAGTACCAAGTCATGTTTTGCAGAGGGGTGAACTACTTATTTCCCTCATTAAAATGCAAATCAATTTATAACATTTTTGACATGCGATTGTCTGGATTTGTTTTGTTATTCTGTCTCTCACTGTTCAAATAAACCTACCATTACAATTATAGACTGCTTATTTCTTTGTCAGTAGGCAAACGTATAAAATCAGCAGGGAATCAAATACTTTTTCCCCTCACCTGTATGTATCTATTTTTAAGCCACCAAATTTAAGTGACAAGCCGATTTCATTTGAATTGGTGCCACGATTAATAAGATTTCAAATCACCCATTCACCCTCCCAGTTCACGTCCCCACTCCACCACTTGCTCAAGCCGCAACTGAATTGTTCACGTCCGAGCTCGACCCCACAGCCCAACCACCACGAAACTTCACATTTGCCCGACCCTGTTCTGTCCACCCCAACCCCCTCATCTAACCCCCGAGGCCACCTCTTTAAGCCTGGACCCCCTTTCATGTCCCTGTGTGCACTCTGCTGACCCTCTCCCTGCACCTCTTACTCCGGTGCAGTGCGCCCCGAGCCGCACTGCACCATGCAAGCTCCACGGTTCTCGGTAGCGAGCGAGGCTGCTCCTCGCTCAACCCAAGCGGCTCCCTCTCGTCCACGCCGTCTTCCACTTTCCAGCCGTGGAGAGTCTTCCGCTTTAGGAATGGAGTCGCCCCCCTTCAGAAGCTGTAGCCTCCTCCGCGTCTCCACGTCGCTCCCACGCCTCACCAGCTCACATGGATACCAACTCTGCTCCTAGGAAGATTGTATGTTTTTTTTTAAACCTTACATAAATAACGTGGCCAGTTAACACTGGCAAAAGCGAATGCTTTCTGGTCAAGTGCATTTATATAGACGTCCATATCCATCCATTTTCAATTGAAGTTTCAAAACGTATTCGTGAACCAATTGCTTATTTTGCTATCAAGGTCGTTTTACTGTTTCATACGGTCCGTTTGGTGCCAACAAATTCGAGCGAGTGTTGTGTTCTACGTTCCCTGACCAGTACACCAAGGGTGGGGTGGTTCTACAAATATTGATTCCCTTCTCGGGGTATCGCACAAATGTGGAATATTCCGTGCTCGGGGCTCGGGGTCACAGGAAGTGCGATGTTCTCTCCCGCGGCACCACAGAAGGCACAGCACGCACAAGGACGACACTGGGCCACTTGAACAGCATTCAGCACAAAGCATTTTTATTGGACAGCCAATGGGAGCTGTTGGATTGCCATCGCGAGCGGCTGCATCCAGACAGCCGGCGCGAGCGAGCTCGGTCGCGTCATCGTGAAGCCCCAGAAACCAAACGATAGACGCTCTGCAGCGTGAATAAGAACAACAAAAACCACGTGGAGCTGCTGGGCGTGGACTCTACTCCTCCTCTTCGTCAGACTCCACCTCCTTTCCGATCTGGTCCTTCACTGAAAAGTTACAACAAAAAAGCAAGCATAAGATTTATAAACCCAAGACTCGTGAGCAACTGGGCAGGCAGTCTCAGAGGGAAGCCCCCCCCAAATCTAGGATTCAACTTGGCTGGTACATGACGGGAATCCATCCAGAAGGAGAATACAGATGCCATTGAATTGTTTGCCAACTCTTGTACACTTGTAGCGAGTCCAACTGAGTCACAGACGTTGTCTTGGGAGCAACACAATTAATTTAACTCCTAGCACAACATACTCCAGGCTATTGACACAACACACTCCAGGCTATTAACACATGGATATCCTGCCTCTCCAACAGTAAAGCCCCGAGTCTCTCTCAGGGTCCCCTTTATATCGGGCCGGGCTGGGGCTGGCTCCGCCTCTCGCCCCGCCCACCTTCTCGATCTCTCTAGCCCGAAGGGTCTTGAGAGTTCTTCTCGGACCACGTGACCACCCATGGGCCCCCTCCGCCAGTGACCCCCCTCCAGTATCATCCGGTCACATGTCCCCAGGTCAGCCAGAGTATCATGCCCCCAACGTAACCCTAGCTGGCTGATACTCTCTCGCTCTCTCAACGGGAGCCCGCACCGCACGCTCTGCGCGGTGCCACCGCGCTGAACCAGCGCGCACCCAAGCCCCCACTAGGGCTGGTGCTACACCCCGTGTCCGGGGTGTGCGCACAACAGTAGACATCCCGCCGTGGCCTCGCAAGCCCGGCACCACAGTGACATTCCCAGTCACTACACACTTATAAAGCTCATCATTTGTGGATTTTATCTCCAAATAGCACAACACAGGTGCACGCAGAAGATGCTGGGAACTCCACAGTTGTCTCCCGGTCCCCCTGGTGGTCGTGGGGGTGCCCAATCTCACCCGGCTCTGGAGCAACGCAGCCAACCCCACACGGGACGCTGCAGCACTTCTGCTTGCCAGGGCAGTCGTCGTCACTCCTGCAGCCGTCGTTATAGCGGATGCAGACGATGGCCGAGAAGTCCCGGACCGGGCACGACCCAGCCTTCACTGAAACACGCACCACACAAGCACGAGGGGACGAGCAGATCGGGCATGAAGCCATTTTAGCTGGCAAGTACGAGGATCATCTTACCTGGTGAGATGTCTGGAAAAGCTCTTTCAAAATATATAAAGGTAGAGTTCAGACAAACTGTGCTTGCGTTATTGGAACACTTTCAAGTGGTCACACAATTAACTCGATTAATAAATTTTCCACATTAAATTGCAAACTCAACAAAATGAGAAGCATGGCAAGACACGCGTGACATACGCTTGAAGTTTGAGAGCCAGATGCAAGAACAAAAATGTGTTAGGAGACATCATTGACAAGTGGACGTGATGGCGAGTGGGCTTGCCATCATCCCTCCTAAAGAACACGCAACTAGACATGGCCAGTGGTCGAGACTAATGCAGTGGCGGCTAAAGGAGGGAACGTGTCCGAGGTGATTTACACCGTGGACAGATGAGAGGTGCCGATGAACCGTTGCGTCACAAGGGCAGTGAGAGTTGGCAAGGCTTTCATCCAGTAATAGATCGATCATGGCTGCCGATGGTAAAAATAAAATGGCATGGAGCTTCCTTCCCCTAGCTGGGTAATGATCGAGGCTGGCATACCTGGCTGAGTGCAGATCAACGCGCAGCCAGAGCTGCAGCACTTCTCTTTGCCGGGGCACTGCCAGTCCTGTTGGCATTGGTTGAGGTCGGGCCGGAACGCGCATTTGATGAGCCTGGTGTCGACATACGGACAAAATCCGTGCTTGTTTTTGACTGCAAAAACAAACACCCAAACGCACAGCAACGGCACGTCAGCAGCTGGCACTCAACATTGCTTTCGAAACTATTAAGGCGATAACATTCTGCAACATCCACATTACAAGTTTAACGATGCATTATTTTATTAATCAGGTTCTAGAGATCCATCGAGTCGCACGTGAACCCGTCAGTGCGACTCGTGCACCTTTGCTAAAAATGTCCATTTACATTTATCGTCTTACCCAAGGTGGGAGGGAGTCAATGCAGTCGCAGTTCTGTCGCCTTCGACTTAAACTGCACCCTCACTCGTGCAGGGCCACCCTGGGATTTGGTCTCCTCGCCGGCACCTCCAAGCAGCTGCTCGTGCACGACAGCGGCAGCAGGCGCACACCGCTGCACACTGCTGCACCCCGCAGGGCTAGCTGGAGATAACCAGGCGAGGGTAGCTGGCCGATGGATTTCTGCTCACGACTGCAAATCATCCCACCCCCCCCCCCCCCCCCCGCCAGCATCTCAAGACTGGTGGCTCAAAAAAAAAAGGGGCAGACGAGATGCTCTCAACATCCAAATGGAACTTTTGGGATCGCTGCACTGCAGCGTCTCCCATGCGGGGACCGTAGACATTCTGCGCAGCGGATAAAAAAAGTTGCTCGTGCCACCGCGTCTCACCTGGGGGGAGGGGGAGGTGTCGCGCAATGCGTGGAGGTGTAACCCCAGTGTAGTGGCTGCAGGCCATATTCCTCCCCACGCACCGGGTCAGTCCACCTGTTGCACTTACCCCGTACCCTGCAGTACGAGTTGTGTGTGTTTTTACAGTACTGTTGAGACAGGTTTATGGCCGTGTGTGGTGGGGATCATAAAAAAAAGGTGAAGGTGGAGCAGCAAAGTGACTACGATGCCAGGGGTGACGCATCAAAGAAAAATTGGAGCCTTCATGCAGCAGTGGAAACGTCATGGCTGCCGATGGTAATAATGATGATGACGGTGACGAGGGCACGAGCTTTCCTTGGCTGGACGAGAGAAGAGAGTGAAAGGGTGGCCGGGCTACCTGGTTTGTTGCACTTCAACTTGCACCCCGCGTTGCAGCACTTTTGCTTGCCCGGGCACTGCCAGTCCTGCTTGCAATCGTCGATGGCGGCTTTGATGGAGCAGCGGACGAGCGCGGTGTTGACGTAGCGACACTCGCCGGGCTTGTCTGGGACTGCGGCACGAACGGGGAGGAAGGGGCAACGGAGACCAACGTTGTTGCCTTCGATTAACCAACAACAAAAACCCCAGCACGAGAAACGCCGCCTTGTGACATGGATTCCGCATTGACCAAGTGCCCCCCACGTGGCTTGATATCGCATCATCATGCTCACGGCATCTTGGTGCCTACCTTGCTTGATGTTGTGAACCTTGACCTGGTGCCTCAATAGCCAGAGTCCGTATTAGAAAAAGGAACTAAAGTCCCTCAAAAGTCCACATCTACCCTACGGGTTTGCCCACAAGGGTCATGCAAAAGCATGGCACCACGAGACAGGTTCCAGAAAAGGGGAGGCTACGTTGGCGAAGGAGCTCAACGTTCTACTTTCGATCAACAAAACCCAACAGTCGGAAGCGGTGTTGCCCTATAAACTTGCAGGTAATGTTTCATCATTACAACGCGATTGGTTCATACCAGTTACAAGCTATGGCACTGTTGCGTCTTCCTTCTTACAAAGCTAAATTGGGAAGAAACAGCTACGCAGAGCAGAGGGAAGGAGCCACGCAAACCCCCACGTGGCCACGCGGGCCTTGCCCCTGTGCCACCCAGCCGGGGTGGCATTCGAGGTGGTGCCAGACCCCTCGTGGCTACGCAACTTTATACTGCGACACGTCTCGCTGGGGCGGGGTTGGAGGAGTGGTGGGGGGGGGGTGAGTGTTGGAGGAGTGGGGGGGCGAGTGTTGGAGGAGTGGGGGGGGGGCGAGTGTTGGAGGAGTGGGGGGGCGAGTGTTGGAGGAGTGGGGGGGGGGGTCCCCACGTACGCGGGTCCACGGGGTGCAGTGCGAGTGGCTCCACGCAGCCGTGGCCACAGCCGTTGCTGCAGCACTTCTGCTCCCCGGGGCAGCTCTCGTCGTCCGTGCACGCCTCGTCGCACGTCCCCACGGCGTCAGGGGGCGGCGTAGGGCAGGAGCCGAGCTTCATGGCAACTGGTCGGGGGAAACCGATAAAAAGGATTCCGATTAAAAACAAAATTGATGCACATTCGCGAGATGGGCGTCATTCCGCCTTGCGCGCCACATATTGCGCGTGGCTATCGAAACCACGTTGATGGGAGGTGGACCGTGGTTTGTAGATTAGGCGGTTCGCGGGAATTGGGCCAGAAGGGCCCTTGCCGTTTGCTCAGGGTTCAAGCCGATAGACTTCTCACCTGGTTCGACGAAAGAGACTAGCAGGAGCCTGAAATTGTCAGTGTGACCCGGGGGTGGCATCGGTTTGCAGGTCGAGGGCACAAACCCTCGAGCGAGTAATTTGCGGGAAGATCTGGCCCACAGATGCCGGCACAATCGCCTAACCTCTTGCGAATGACATCTTTAAAGCGTCCCCCGTGCAGTGGGCAGCATGGGACATGACGACTACGGTGACGCCACCCGCCGCCGTTACGGTCAGGGCAGCCGCTGGATGTGGGAGGGAGGAAAGCCGAAGAGGTTTCCCGCACCACGTGGTGTCGTGTTGACCAAACGGCTTCGGGACAGATGGGTGGGATGCGGCTTGATAGCGAGGGAAGTCGGCGTTCATGCGGACACAAACAGGCCGAGCAACGGAAAACACCTTCGTAAATATCACCCGTGGCCTTGAAATTAAATGTACGTTATAGGCAACGGTTCGGGCAATGGCCCTTCTTCATAGCAGTATACGTAGGAGAGTAGAGTCTGGGTGAATGATAAGAGTTGGGAGGCTGCACGCGTTCCTCTGTGGGTGGGTCCTGATGATAAATATTGCAAGAGATCAACACCACGATAGTTGTTTAAAGTGTACGAAAATGTAGTTCGATAGGAGCCGTTGAGTAACAGACAATCTCTTCCGTTAAAAAAAAATCTAGTAAAAATTATAAAATTGTTGCTGGCACATGGCATTTAGAATATTTAGCTTGGGGAGGAGGAATCCAATGAAGCTACGAGGCTGTTTCCAGATGCCCAATCTGGGCGAGGGATTCGCAAGGGACATCACAAAATGACGATCCGAGTGCAAGATAGAGAAAAATAATGTAAGCAAGTCGCTAGAAATACAAATAAAGTCTGCAAGTACAAATTGCACAATAAAAAAAAACACACGCATTTCTTGCGATTTGACAAGACCAAATGAAAGTATAGGGAAAGGCAGCAAAACAACAAGTCCCAAACCACACCAAGACAGTCCCTGGATTGCATTGCAAATTTAAATAGCGATACATGAAACCGCGCACACCCTGAGCGCTCCTGCCACTGCAAGGCGTCTCTCTCTCTCCGTACCCGATTAGTGCGGCTAAAAACGCCTGCAATGGACGGATAATTGCACGGTTATCGGGCCGCGTTTGAAGCCGAAGGGCGGACGGAGCAGAGTCACGGAGCGCCCCTGGGCTCCTCTGCGCTCTCACAGAAGGCGACGCGCGACCCCATGACGAATCCACCTCTCTTCCTCCTGAACCAGACAGAGGTCGCGCTCACCAGTCGATGGTGACAGCAGCAGCTGCAGCAGCGGCAGCAGCAGGGCAAGATGTGGGGACGCGAACCACTGCGCCATGATCGCCAGTCGCAGGGTGGAGCGTGGCTTGGAGGCAGTGGCTTTACCGCTGCTGTGCCGTGGCTCTGCTTTATAGCGCTGCCCTCGCCCACCTGGCCCCCACCGTCACCCACTCCCTCCCACACGGGCGGACCGATGCCACACCGACACTCGCCCATGCCCCTTGGGGCCTGACCCGTAATGAGGACGTGGCGCAGGGGACGTGTGTCGGCACGGTTCCAAGGCATCTCATTGGACGGTTGTGGAGAGAGCTCGAGATTGACCAGATAACCAGTTCCACCGGCTCGGTTGGTTCCTCATCCTTTTTGGAGACAATAATATTTGTTTTTCCACAAGTTATACGCGAAAAAAACAACGCGAGTATAAAACGAAAATAATAAATATACCTGCGCTCATTCAGTGCATTTGTCGGTCGTAGAGGTTGCGTGACCATACTTCACCACCCCCAAATTAGTGCCGCGTGGTGAACAGAGGTGGTGTTGGGGGAGGCGGACCGAACTATTAAGAAAGGTGTACCTGTATTGATGTCACTTCGTTGCTTCCCGTGTCTTCCAAACAGGATTGACGCGCGCTCACCCAACCCCATTCAATAATCACGCTCACACAACGCCCATTGGAGGGGGGGGGGGGGCTCACACAGCCAAATCAGCAATCACCTTCAATCTCCCTGTGCGATGAGAGAACTGGCAAAGCATGCCACGGTGTATATGCTGGAAAGTACTCAATGCGCACGCTTCAAATCAGTAAAAAAAATCATCCAAACTTAGCCACAGGGCAGGCTGGGTTTCAACCGTTCATCGGGCTCTGAGGCGCAAACCCCGAACTCTCAGAAGCTACAGCCCAGCTCTGAAATTCATTTCGTCTCGTTTGCTCATCTATCACCACGTGACACACTCGCCACTGACGTCAGCCGTGGCCAGGTGTCGCACTTAGGTGGGTTCATATGGCCTTTGGGCAAAGCTATGCCGACGTGAATGTTGTTGTTCTGTATGCGGCGTTCACTCGGCTCGTACCACGTGTCCACGCGCTGGGGTTCCCAGCAAGGGAATTGAGCGACTGAAGAAGCTCCCAGCACGTGGAGCGAAACGTCGAACATCGCGCCCGAACAACACGCGGTCACGACCGCAATAACCATAGAGAGGCAGCTGTGCAGTACTGTGCAACATTCACCCCCCCCCCCCCCGCGAGCGATTCCTCGCGAGGGGGGGGGGATGATTATAATAAAGCGATTCAAGAATCGCTTTATTATTATTATCATCATATTGTCATCAGACCAAGCTTAAGTTAGAGTGGTGTGGATTTAGTGCTGAGCAAACAATCATTTGTCGAGACGTAAACAGTACGCGAAGCGGCGTGGTCCTGCCAAGAGATCCGCAACCCTAATCCCTAGCGCGTGCCATGCACACGGCAGCAGCAGCAGCAGCGGGACCCCCTCGATCGGATTCGCAAACCTGCGAACTGAAAACTCGTAACAAGGTCCGAGATCGTGATGCTCGTTACTGTTCCTTGCAGTGTGGGGAGCGGCGGTGTAGCTGCCACCCAAGTTCGATTCCCGCTCACGGCCAACACCGGTGACGATATTCTGAGCTGGTCCTGGGCCTCCCCTAGCTCGACTCAGCCTAAAATGAGTACCTGGTGCGGTGTGTAAACATCGCCACTAGGGGTTGCTGGCCACCCACCCCTTCATGTGCTGTGGTGCTCGCAAACAGCACTTGCCCCAACAGTCTGTTAAGGCTATAGGGGGGATCTTTGTCTCTGTCTTAGGTCCTATCTCTCAACCAATGTGCGTCATAATCGAATTATATATTTATATCGCGAGCGTCTTCACTCAAGGCGTTTGGCATAGCTTACAAAACGGTGGCAGAGAATGGAATTATGAAGCGGTGCAAGGATTGAGGAATGAGTGACAGTGATAGAGGGGCGCTTAGGGATCATGAAATGATCGGGGAGGGACGGGAAGGAGTGGAGGGGCGGGGAGAGGAAAGAGAATGGGCAGTAGAGAAGAGAGGCGAGGCTTTAAGAGAGAACGGAGGGAGGTTAAGAAAGGGAACTGCTTCATGTACAGGGGCAGTGTTGAGTCTATGGGTAGTGTTGAGTCTATGGGCAGTGTTGAGTCTATGGGCAGTGTTGAGTCTATGGGCAGTGCTGAGTCCATGGGCAGTGTTGAGTCTATGGGCAGTGCTGAGTCTATGGGCAGTGTTGAGTCTATGGGCAGTGTTGAGTCTATGAGCAGTGCGGAGTCCATGGGCAGTGTTGAGTCTATGGGCAGTGTTGAGTCTATGGGCAGTGCTGAGTCCATGGGCAGTGTTGAGTCTATGGGCAGTCCTGAGTCTATGGGCAGTGTTGAGTCTATGGGCAGTGTTGCGTCTATGGACAGTGCTGAGTCCATGGGCAGTGTTGAGTCTATGGGCAGTGTTGAGTCTATGGGCAGTGCTGAGTCTATGGGCAGTGCTGAGTCTATGGCCAGTGTTGAGTCTATGGGCAGTGTTGAGTCTATGGGCAGTGCTGAGTCCATGGGCAGTGTTGAGTCTATGGGCAGTGCTGAGTCTATGGGCAGTGTTGAGTCTATGGGCAGTGTTGCGTCTATGGACAGTGCTGAGTCCATGGGCAGTGTTGAGTCTATGGGCAGTGTTGAGTCTATGGGCAGTGTTGAGTCTATGGGCAGTGCTGAGTCCATGGGCAGTGTTGAGTCTATGGGCAGTGTTGAGTCTGTGGGCAGTGCTGAGTCTATGGGCAGTGCTGAGTCTATGGGCAGTGTTGAGTCTATGGGCAGTGTTGCGTCTATGGACAGTGTTGAGTCTATGGGCAGTGTTGAGTCTATGGGCAGTGTTGAGTCTATGGTGCAGTGTTGAGTCTATGGGCAGTGTTGAGTCTATGGGCAGTGCTGAGTCTATGGGCAGTGCTGAGTCAATGGGCAGTGCTGAGTCAATGGGCAGTGTTGAGTCTATGGGCAGTGTTGAGTCTATGGGCAGTGTTGAGTCTATGGGCAGTGCTGAGTCTATAGGCAGTGCTGAGTCAATGGGCAGTGTTGAGTCTATGGGCAGTGTTGAGTCTATGGGCAGTGTTGAGTCTATGGGCAGTGCTCAGTCTATAGGCAGTGTTGAGTCTATGGGCAGTGTTGAGTCTATGGGCAGTGCTGAGTCCATGGGCAGTGTTGAGTCTATGGGCAGTGCTGAGTCCATGGGCAGTGTTGAGTCTATGGGCAGTGCTGAGTCTATGGGCAGTGCTGAGTCCATGGGCAGTGTTGAGTCTATGGGCAGTGTTGAGTCTATGGGCAGTGTAGAGTCTATGGGCAGTGTTGAGTCTATGGGCAGTGTAGAGTCTATGGGCAGTGTTGAGTCTATGAGCAGTGCTGAGTCCATGGGCAGTGTTGAGTCTGTGGGCAGTGCTGAGTCTATGGGCAGTGCTGAGTCTATGGGCAGTGTTGAGTCTATGGGCAGTGTTGCGTCTATGGACAGTGCTGAGTCCATGGGCAGTGTTGAGTCTATGGGCAGTGTTGAGTCTATGGGCAGTGTTGAGTCTATGGACAGTGTTGAGTCTATGAGCAGTGCTGAGTCCATGGGCAGTGTTGAGTCTATGGGCAGTGTTGAGTCTATGGGCAGTGCTGAGTCCATGGGCAGTGTTGAGTCTATGGGCAGTGCTGAGTCTATGGGCAGTGTTGAGTCTATGGGCAGTGTTGCGTCCATGGACAGTGCTGAGTCCATGGGCAGTGTTGAGTCTATGGGCAGTGTTGAGTCTATGGGCAGTGCTGAGTCTATGGGCAGTGCTGAGTCTATGGCCAGTGTTGAGTCTATGGGCAGTGTTGAGTCTATGGGCAGTGCTGAGTCCATGGGCAGTGTTGAGTCTATGGGCAGTGCTGAGTCTATGGGCAGTGTTGAGTCTATGGGCAGTGTTGAGTCTGTGGGCAGTGCTGAGTCTATGGGCAGTGCTGAGTCTATGGACAGTGCTCAGTCCATGGGCAGTGTTGAGTCTATGGGCAGTGTTGAGTCTGTGGGCAGTGTTGAGTCTGTGGGCAGTGCTGAGTCTATGGGCAGTGCTGAGTCTATGGGCAGTGTTGCGTCTATGGACAGTGCTGAGTCCATGGGCAGTGTTGAGTCTATGGGCAGTGTTGAGTCTATGGGCAGTGTTGAGTCTATGGTGCAGTGTTGAGTCTATGGGCAGTGTTGAGTCTATGGGCAGTGCTGAGTCTATGGGCAGTGCTGAGTCAATGGGCAGTGCGGAGTCAATGGGCAGTGTTGAGTCTATGGGCAGTGTTGAGTCTATGGGCAGTGTTGAGTCTATGGGCAGTGCTGAGTCTATAGGCAGTGTTGAGTCTATGGGCAGTGTTGAGTCTATGGGCAGTGCTGAGTCCATGGGCAGTGTTGAGTCTATGGGCAGTGCTGAGTCCATGGGAAGTGTTGAGTCTATGGGCAGTGCTGAGTCTATGGGCAGTGCTGATTCCATGGGCAGTGTTGAGTCTATGGGCAGTGTTGAGTCTATGGGCAGTGTAGAGTCTATGGGCAGTGTTGAGTCTATGGGCAGTGTAGAGTCTATGGGCAGTGTTGAGTCTATGAGCAGTGCTGAGTCCATGGGCAGTGTTGAGTCTATGGGCAGTGTTGAGTCTATGGGCAGTGCTGAGTCCATGGGCAGTGTTGAGTCTATGGGCAGTGCTGAGTCTATGGGCAGTGTTGAGTCTATGGGCAGTGTTGCGTCTATGGACAGTGCTGAGTCCATGGGCAGTGTTGAGTCTATGGGCAGTGTTGAGTCTATGGGCAGTGCTGAGTCTATGGGCAGTGCTGAGTCTATGGCCAGTGTTGAGTCTATGGGCAGTGTTGAGTCTATGGGCAGTGCTGAGTCCATGGGCAGTGTTGAGTCTATGGGCAGTGTTGACTCTATGGGCAGTGTTGAGTCTATGGGCAGTGTTGACTCTATGGGCAGTGTTGAGTCTATTGGCAGTGCTGAGCCAATGGCCAGTGTTGAGTCTATGGGCAGTGTTGAGTCTGTGGGCAGTGCTGAGTCTATGGGCAGTGCTGAGTCTATGGGCAGTGTTGAGTCTATGGGCAGTGTTGCGTCTATGGACAGTGCTGAGTCCATGGGCAGTGTTGAGTCTATGGGCATTGTTGAG